GGGGGGGGGGGGGGGGGGGGGGGATGGCTGTGTGACAGCGGAAGGTGAGGACACGGGACAGCCCTGGAGGAAGCAGCAGGACTGTCTACTCGCTTCCTCCTCGCTCTGTCCGTTATCCTCGCAGGAGTCTGTTCCCCGTCCTGAAACCAGCGGGGCTGGAGAGGCCAGGAGTGCGCTGTCCCCCTGCCAGGCGCGTGCTGTGGCAGAGTCACTGGGTTGTGTGTGCCCCCCTATAGGAGATGAAGATGGAATTGCGTCTGTTCCCTGTGGGCCTCCATTGCAGCGAGAACTTGGGCGCCCTTTTCTTAAGTGACTGCAAACGCCCGCTGCCTGGTACTGGAGTGAAGTTGTGCTCAGAGACGTCTGATGTTTTCCAGGTGGAACGTTGAGGATTTATGCAGATAGTTTACGACCAAATATCCCCTACAAGACCATCCTGCTGTCTACCACGGACCCTGCGGACTTCGCGGTGGCCGAGGCGTTGGAGAAGTATGGCCTGGAGAAGGAGAACCCCAAGGACTACTGCATTGCCCGGGTGAGTGGCTGCGGCAGCGCCGCCCTGTGGTGCCAGCGAGAACTTGCCAGTGAACTTGCCCGAGGCTGATTCCTTCCCCTGTGCAGTTTAGAATCCGAAAACCCATGTGTTACAGCAATAGGAGAGCATTCCCTCTCCCGTTACACAAGTTACCCATGCTCCTGTGCGAAGTGAGGGAAGGAAGGAGGCAGGTTGGGAATAAAGGTCACCCACAGTTCTATCGGGGGAGCAGCGATTCACATTCCGCCGTATGTCCTTCCAGGTGTTACTTGGCCTGCACAGGTAGAGTTTGACCAGTTTGCTTTCACAGTGACTCTGTTGACCCCCAAACCATGACTCTTTGTTTAAATGCCCGTGATTTCCTTCTGCGGGACAGTCACAGTGGACGGCTTTGTTTTAGGTTATGCTCCCGCCTGGCGCCCAGCATTCTGATGATAAAGGTGCTAAGGAAATGGTCCTGGACGATGACGAGTGCCCCTTACAGATCTTCCGGGAGTGGCCCAGCGACCGCGGTGAGTGCCGGGGGTGTGCGCCTGCTGAGCCGCTGGCTCAGTCTCTCGGCTGTGGGGGAGCCCGGCTGTGGGGGAGCCCGGCTGTGGGGGAGCCCGGCTGTAGGGGAGCCCGGCTGTGGGGGAGCCCGGCTGTAGGGGAGCCCAGCTGTAGGGGAGCCCGGCTGTGCTCCCTGCGGGCTATTTGTGGGGCGGTTTTCTCTGTCCTCCCTGGTCCCCTTGTTCGAGGCCACGTTCAGTGGCTCATGTGCAGACCTGGAACAGACCGTTCCCCTCCAGTAGGCGTGTCACGTCTTAAAGAAGCTGGGCCCCCACACTGCCTGCGTGGAAGGTCATGGTCCCGTCAGCCGTGGAGTCCCGCGGTGCTGGCCAGATGACTGGGTGGATTGGCAGATGTGTTCCAATAGGGAAAGCAACCTGCCACCCTAAAGGTTGTCCAGCAATCGATTATTTAAAAAATGAGCCCAGGCTTTTCACTCTGCAGGCCGTTGGCTCTCATTGTTCCAGAGCAGGGAAGGGGTTCCCTGTGTCTTGATGGGACAAGTTTTCTTGCTCTCGGTTCACATGATACGCTCCCTGCTGTGTAGCTGGTCTTTGCATTAGTAAATACATAAAGGTTTACTGCCAGTCAACCCTGGCAGTGCTTGAATGTGGACTGGTAGTTTTAAAAGTACACTCTCTCCATACTTTTTCTAGACAGTATACAGGTAAGCTTTATTAAAGTTAAATTCCTTTGAATTCTGAGTTAAGTCAGTTGAACTAAATAAAAGTCAGATCAACTAAACAGATATTTGTGTGTATAGAGTGTGTGTGCGTGTGTTACACGTGTGTGTGTGAATATATTTATTGCTCATAGGGTTGTTTACCAAGATAAACACTCATTCGTTCTTACACTGATGTGTGCTTTTCAAGGATGCCACGTGCTTGGGTAGTTGATAATGTGAATTCACCTTTGCAGCTTGGTTGCTGGAGTCTCAGAGCACATCCAGAGACTGTACTGTCTCTGTTGAGTAGAGCATACTTGGGAAGCGTGCACGCAGTTTGCCTTGGGAGATGTCATTGGGTTGCATCTTTGGTCAGCTGGCCGTCTGCACTCCCGTGCGTCTAGTTCATACCCGGCATTGCTTCTATTCCAGGGATTTTAGTCTTCCAGTTGAAGAGGAGGCCCCCAGACTATGTCCCCAGGAAAACCAAGAAGCACCAGGAGGGGCGGCCCGCGAAGGGCAAGGAGAGAGCCGACGGGGCGGGCTACGGCTCCATGTTGCCGCCTGAGAAGCTGCCGTACCTCGTGGAGCTGAGCCCAGGTGAGGCGCAGAGAACGGTTCGTTTTGTAAAGGAGTTTTTCTCTTGCCTGACAACCTGTTTCAAACCATTTATTTTTCTAAAAAATAACCCTCATAAGATGACATTTACTTAAAAAAACACTCAAAACCTTAAGGTCCTAAGATATGTACTTTTCATGCATAAAAATAAAGTTCACATAGGCAGAAGTTGGTATTGAAAAAAAAGTTAAAATAGTGGCAATAGAGAATAAAGGAAAGGTTTAATTGATCTCCATTAACATTTTTTTTGTTCAAAATGACCTTGCAAAGTCCTTCCTCCAGCTGACAGCCTGAGATGGGCTCCTCCCAGGCAGGTTCAGGAGGGCCAGGCGTGGACTCAGCCGTGCTGGATGTATGAACAGTGTCTGAAAAGAATGTCCTTAAACTTAACAGTGCAGCAGAGAAATTGCCTGTGAGAGGGAGGGTGTCTGGTTTCAAATGAGAGTAGACCAAGTTTATTTTCCTGTTAGGCTTAAAAAACTTGTTTATAGAGCTCTCTTAAGCCAAAGCTGTTGTAAGTGAGCCATCAGGTAGAAAAATACATTGATGTTCTTAAACGTTTTACATACATATCCCTATGTAGTATATATGTTTGCATATGTGATACACATGGCATGTTTATGACTTAGATAAACGACATCATTCCGAGTTGATGTGGTTCGAGTACTAATGTGGCCTGTGTTACACTGCGCTGTGCGAGACAGGCGGTGGCTCCCTCCCCGCCAGGACTGCGTTTAACTACAGGCCGTTAGCAATCACAGAAAAAGGGAGCTGGAAACCAAGCCAGATGCATAGGCAACCCATGGTTCTCTGGGCAGGTGTTCTGTCATTCTCTCCTTTCATTCTTAAGTGTGTGTTTGTTTGCAAGGTTGTGACTGCTGGGGAGACGGTGCGATGGCCCGGCAGGCTGCATCGATGCAGGAGAAGTGGTGCTGCTTTGCCGGGTACTGGCCGTCAGCGCTCGGTGGCAGTTTGCTGCAGGTCCTAGTTTATGCTGATGATGTTGGAGGGTTTTTACTCCATCAGCTGTTTGTGAGGAATAGGTTAGTGTTACTTCGCCCCTCAGTCTCTGGCTGAACAGTTTGTGGAATGTTGCTTGCTCGCTGTGGTTTGGACACGTCCCGGTATCAGTGTGTCTGTGGGGTGTGTGCACGTGTTGGTGCCTGGAGTCTGAGGCAGTGGCTAGCAACTGCGAGACGGCCATTTATTTCTGAACTTAACATTTTTTAGTCAGGATCTTTGAGCATTGGGTCTGTTCTTTAAAGTTTCGCATTACATGCTAGAAATTAATGATTATTTTCTTTAAACCAAAAATTTTGAGGATTTAGAAGTATTATTAGTTCAGAGAGAATTGATAAATAGCAGTCAACATAGAATAGTTTTCAAATGAGTAATGGAAAGTTGATTTGAGTGGTAGCAGAGACAGGCTGAGAATTCGTTCATTGACTGATTTGACTAATAGTTATTGAATCCTTATTATATGTCATCGTCTGGCCTTGGAGATAGCGCCCCGACAAACAGATTAAACCCTGATTTCAGGAACTTATATTCTAGCAGGAATTGCTATTTTGACAGCTTATTTCCTATGTATAGTCTCCCAGGTGATGAGAATATATAACATTTTTTGTAGGTGTGGGAAAGTGGTAGAGACTAGATAAGTTTTACTTCTGTGCTCCTTTTCAACAAATATTGGCAACAGCACGTTACATGCCGATTAATATGTGTCCTTTGTCCGTGGCCTTCTGCTACGTTGGTCAGCGTTTACTGAGCTAATGCTTTAGGCTGAGCAGTGGGTTTCCAAGGTGAGTGAGATTGCTCCTGCCATTGAGTGATTGCACCCAAGAGTTGCTGGTGATACAGTGTGGTGAGTCCCCGTGCGTGCGTTGGTCCGACGTCCCTCCTGTTGGGTGGCCTTATTGTCTGACAAATGCCCAATGCTCAGATCGGCGACCACTGTCAGGGTGAGCAAGTGGTGGCAAACCTGAGTGCTGGGCAAGGTCTTACACGGAAACCTTGTTCTTCTCAGTAGCCCTGCTGTCTCTCTAAGTGTTCACTCTTAGAGTCAGCGTGCTGAATGGAGTGGAAGGTGTTCCATTGCCAAGCAAGTAATTTATCCATGTTGACTTGTTGTGAATGGATGAGAACCGTATTTCCACCGGACACGTCATCAGACTGGGTCTGTCCGCAGCCGGCTGAATGCCTGAGGTGTGTGAGGTGTGGGTGTAGCTTACACTGTCTTTTGGAGAAATGGGGGCTCAAAAGCTCCTGTAGGCTTTGCTTTGGGTTTGACTGTGTTCTTTCAACAGAAGACTGCGGGGGGCGTGGACTCCAGGCCTCCCTCCCTGCTCTCCTGCCTGTGACTCACTGTCGTCTCGGTGTCTCCTTACAGTCCGTTGTCTCTAACACGCAGCCTGCCTGGGCCTGTCGTCCGTCCTCATCCTGAAGGTGGTGGGGTGGACGCTTTCCTCCCGGCCGAGCGGTCTCACTGCAGCTCACCTCTCCTGTCTCTCCCTCTCCATGTCCCGCATGGCCTCTGTCGCTGCGCTGCCTTCACCTGGGTCCTCTGCATGCGCACCCCAGGGAGAAGGAACCACTTTGCCTACTGCAGCTCTCACGCTCACGAAGGTAACGCTGTGCTCCTGCTGCTCAGCTCGGGCGCTGACAGAGCCTGGTGTGTGTGCGCATTGGTGTGGAGTTGGTATGAATGACTTATTTTAAGACACTTAATGTACTGTCATTAATAAGCATTCCATATCCAGAATTCATTAAAAATAATGGGAACTTATTTTGCAAAAATGTCCAATTCCTTTACTAGGCTGACTTAAGTGAGAACTTAAAGAAGGGAGAGAGCGGTTTTCCTATTCTTCTCCCCTCCATCCCCCCAAGAATAAGAGGGAAGAAGCAGGGACGGGGAAGGAGAGAATGAGAATAGTGCGAGTGAGAAAGAGACAGGGTGAGAGAGACAGAGAGGCAGCAGGCAGGAGGAGTGCTTTGTTCAGCACCGTCCGCGACCTTGGGGTGCAGTGATGGTGGTGGGAGGAGTGTCTCAGGTCCGAGACTCCTTGGGAGGCTGCAGGGGAGGCCAGCCGTGTGCTGGGAGCTTATGTTACTGCCAGGCCTGAGATGTCCTCAGGGCTCCTTGTTCTCGGGCGACCTCATCTCTTCTTGTCGGCAAACGGTGCTTTCTCCCCGGAACGTGCTACTCCAATTTTGAGTATCTCCGTCTTTGTCATCTTAAATGCTACAGCTAGTTGTTGGTTTTATGGAAATACTTTGTTTTTATCTGCTTTTATAGTTTAAACTAGAGGCCCGGTGCACGTGCACTCGGGGGTGTCCCTCAGCCCGGCCTGTGCCCTCTCGCAGTCTGGGACCCCTTAGGGGATGTCCACCTTCTGGCTTATGCCTGCTCCCCGGGGGATCGGGCCTAAGCTGGCAGTCAGACATCCCTCTGGCAGCCCTGGAGCCCTAGGGGGATGTCCACTTGCCAGCGGGGACCAGGCCTAAGCTGCAGTCGGACATCCTTAGCGCTGCTGAGGAGGCAAGAGAGGCTCCCACCACCACCGCTGTACTGGCAGCCATCAGCCTGGCTTGTGGCTGAGCAGAGCTCCCCTGTGGGAGCGCGCTGACCACCAGAGGGCAGCTCCTGCATCGAGCGTCTTCCCCCTGGTGGTCAGTGTGTGTCATAGTGACCAGTCATTCCCAGT